TTTTCATGTCTTGATGTCCTGACTGAGATTGTATGAAATCTCACTAAGATCCTGAAAGTCTCACTAAGTCCCTTGAAACTCTTAATAAGATCCTGAGCAACCTATAACTATTGTTTAAAACTGTGTATCAAGTAGCTTGCCTTGTTTCATATCACATAGCATTGATGTGACCCACAGATTTCTTCTGTTCATTCATTCAGCCACCCATTATCCGCCGGGAACGCCGGGTCCGCCGCCGTGGGCCCTTTAAGGGCCCGCCCCCGCCGGGAGGCTCCACGCCTGCGCAGGCGGCTCCGGCGTCCCTGGGAACGGCCGCGACCCTCACCCGCCAGGTGCGTTCTGAACCCCTCTCCAAGCGCGCCGACCCGCACCCTCGCGCCCTCCGCCTTAAGGAAGGCCCCCGGGGTGGCCCGTTTCCTCCTCAATTGACCACCAGGCCCGGTCCCCGCACCACGCGCTCGTGTGAGGGAGCGGTGGCGGCGAGGCGACTTCCGGCCGGGTCGGTGCCCCGAGAGGCCGTCCGGCTGGGAAGCTGGGCTGTGCCGCCTTTAGTTCCGTCTCTGGGGCGTCTTGGGGGAAACGAGAATCTGGCGCGCCCACCTCCGTTTCAGAGGCGAGCTGGGGTCCAGGTTTCACCCCCAGGCCGGTGCGAGGCCGTGTCTGCTCCCGCAGCTCCCGGCCGAGAGACGTGCTCTGCGGCCTGGCGCCACTCCCCGAGCTCGCAGGCCCTTTGCTGCAGTTGTGCCCTCTTCCAAGATTGCCCTTGCAGGGCCCCCCGCAGAGATAGAGCCCCCCCCCTGCGCTCGCTTCCCAACCTGGGTTGTCTGCCCGCCTGTCCACTCCATCAGGCCGTGAGTTCCGGGGCTGAGACGTCCTGGTCTTTCCCCAACGTCCCCATGTGGAGAGGGTCAACTCAAATGTCTATATGGGGCCAGAGATCATGGCAGTGAATGAGGAAGGGACCCCTCTGAGGGGTGCACGTCTGGCGTCTCCAGACCTCCCCACCTTCCCAGGGAAGCCAGAACTCAGGATTTCCATATGGAAATGCCTGGTTTCCAGATGTACCGCCCCTGTGCACAGCTGCACTCCTCACCCAATGTGGGGGCCACCAAGTTGCAAACCCTTCAATAATGACACCAGCAAACGCAGGGGGCTGTTATAAAGCACTTTATAAAGCTTATATATCATTTGGCTCTCACAACAGCTCTAAGACATAGGCACTTTCCCGATGAGGAAACGGAGGCACAATGAGGTCAAGGGGCTTACCCAGTCACAGGGCTGGAAGTGGCAGAATCAGAATTTGAACCCAGACAGTCTGGCCCGGCTCTTAACCCCTCCACACCATCTACAAGGTGCTACAGGTGACCCACCCAAATCCCCTTTATAGACGGCACTCACCCCAGCTGTCGAGCCAGATGCTGACAGCTACACCTGGACGTTCCACTGGGAGCCGCTTGTGCTGGAGTCGGACATCTGGGAACTTATTCACACACATCCCCTCCCCCCGCCATGCCCTCTCCCAACACACCCTGTAGCCAACCACCGATGCTGGGGCAAACTGGTGGATTCATGCTCCAGAGCTCCCGGGGGACTGGCCTGAGTTTAGATGCATCTGAACCTGCCCCTCGGCCCAGCTCCTTCCTGCCTTGTCCTGCTCCGTGGACTCCCTCCTCCCGAGGGTGCTCCATCGATAAGCAGGAACCCCCATCTCCGGTTCTAAGCCAGCCCATCTGCAGAAAGAAGGACCCAGAGCCTGCTCGTCCTTTTGAACCAAGAAGTGCCAAGGGCTACAGGGACTTTATTTCTGCCCTGCCCAACCCAAGCCGAGGTGGCAGAGCCCTCTGCCGTCACGCCACCCCTGACACAGGTCCCAACCAGGCTCAAGTCATCACACACACGTCCACTGTGGTGGGCTCCTCCCGGGTGAAGCCGTCACCGAAGCCCACATCGTCCACCAGGTCGGGCTTGCGGCAGCACATGGGGCAGAGGCGGTTGCGCACAGCGGAGGCCCGGAGCCAGACGATGAGGTTCCATCGCTCCCCCGTGCCCAGGGGCCGGGCCCCGTGCAGCTGGCCGCCCCGATGCAGCACACCCTGGCCCACCACATGCTCCACCTCCAGGGGGTTGGCCAGGGCTGAAGGCGCCTGCAGACAGCTGGGGTCAGGCCTGGGCACTCGCAACTACCCCAGGCCCTGCCCCCAGGGTCACACACACTAACCTGGAAGAGGCCCCCGAAGTATAGGGCGCCCCCGGTGAAGGCCTTGCCCAGGGACACGTTGATGGTCAGCTCGGCGTTGTCATAGTGGCAGCCCAACTCCCGGTCCTGGCCTGGTGCATACTTGACCACGAAGGCTCGGTGGCTGTCGAGCCAGCCTCCGCCACAGTCTGGGTAAAGGAGGGCCATCAGTGGCTGGAGGAAGCGCTCCCGCAGCGGCGTCACCAGCGGCTCATCCAGGCCCAGCTCATGGAGCAGCACCTGGAAGGAGGGTTCCAGTGAGGCCCCGAGATGGGGAGGGATCAGCCGGGAAGCTGGTGGGGCCCCACCCTGGGTCCCTGGGGTGTCCCTTGACTTGTTGAACTTCATAATCCTGCGATTTCATTTTACAGACGGAGACCAAGGAACAGAGAGGGCTACACAGTGGGTCCATAGCACTGCAGGTCAGTCTCCCCAGACCCATGTGTCCCTGCCTCCTCCGCCCGCCTGGCAGAGCCGCACCCACCCCATAGTTGTTCATGGTGTTGGGTCTTCCCTTGGGCATGTCCGACTGCTCGAAGTGCTCCAGCTCCTCCAGCAGCGCCTGGCAGAACGGCGCCGTGAACACCGGCAGCCGGTAGATCCGCTTCTCCTCTGCAGGGAGGACAGTCTGTCGGCCGGGAGCTTCGGGGTGCGTTTCAATCTCCCCGAGTTGTGTGAGCCTGGGCACGTCTTTTCACTTCCCCAGCCTCAGTTTCCTCATCTGTATAATGGGGATAGCTCGGGCACTCTACACCCCTCTCGGGGCCATTATGAGGATTAAATGATGCATGGTATGCACAGCACTGGGGGGCGGGGTTCTATTCTCCAATTCACACCCCCCCTCCCCCCGCCACACACACCCTCATCCCTGGAGCCCCTCATTCTGCTTCCAAGGGTGCCATGGTCTAGCCTTCAGACTCAGATGTGAGTTCTGATGAGGCTCTGAGATGGGGAGGGATTAGCCCAAGGACACCCAGCAGGCCAGCCACAGAGCCAAGCCAGGACACAGCCTGCTCGGGCTCTCTCTGCACCCCTCCCCGCAGCGAACCGCCAAAGTCTGCACCCCAACTCAGAGGTTTCTTGGAGTTTCTGTTCCCCATAAGGAAGGCTGAGAGGGGCTGCTTTTTTGGAGGGCGCTGGTGGGGAGAGGCCCGGCTCAGAATGGAAATGGGGACATTCTTGGCAGACACACACGTTTGGGCCAACTCACAAGCAGCCCCAGCCTCACCCAAACAGCCTCCTTACAATTTCAGCTGCTCTGGAGTAGATGGCAGTGAGTCCCCTCCCAGCCTGGAAGGGGAGTCTCATTCTACCCTGTGCCCCCACAGGATGCAGGTCCCCGGAGGGGAGTGGCTTTTACCTCTGTCCCCCCACCGGATCCCCCAGACCCAGGATAACAGTAACCATAAGACCCGGAGAATTCTGTGCACATACCACGCTCAAGCCTCTAAGCGCATTACCTCTCACCCGATCATCATGGCACCTTTCGAGATGGGCGGTATCGTTCCCATTTCACAAATGAGGAAACCAAGACAGACAGGTTAAGGAATGTGCTAGGCTCCCTGGCCTAGGACTTCTGCTGGGTTTAGCCAGGGGGAGGCCCCAGCAGGAGGTGGCGGGCAGAAAGAGAGACAGGGCATTTTGGAGTCTGGCAGGGCTGTGTGCTCCTGCCGGTTGTCTGGCAGCCCCTCCCACAGCTCCAGGTCCCTGCAGCTTCAAGGAATGTCATCTTGCCCACTCCTTCAGGTCCAGAGACAGGAACGCTCCCCTCTATTGCTGGCCCTGCTGGGGTCCTTCACCTCCCTTGCTGATCCTTTTAGCTCAGCCCACACTGTCTCAACTATCCCTTCCTTAAGCTCTTCAGTCACCCCAGCTGGCTCATGCCTGACAAGACACTGAACAGCTGTGTCTCCTGGGTGAGTGCATGGATGGATATAGATGCCCTGCTCCTGCCTTCCAGCCCCTGCTGGTTTGGTTTTTGGAGGCACACATAATGGACAGAGGGGACCCCAGCCTCCCACCCCCTAGTCCTGCCAGGTCATGGGGCCAAGACCTCACCCGACACCGTCTCCAGCCGCTGGAGGAGGCCCTTGAGGTCTGCACCTGGCAATGCGCTGTACTCAGCTGCGGCCAGAAACTCGGGGGCCAGAGCCACATCCTGGGAGAGAACACACACCCACTGTGGGGCAGGCAGCCTCCCCAGCCTGGATGCCTCCTCCTCCCAGTAACCTGCCCCTGCTGGGTACCTGCAGTGAGTTGTAGATTTCAGGCCGAGCCGGGTGGTAGGAGCTGGCGATGAGGGCTTTCCTGGCAGCCGACTCCTGCCCTAGGCGCTTCCGCCGCTCCACCTCCTGCTCCAGCTGGGGTGGCACAGGGCCTGGTTACCAGGACAGGGCCTCTCATCCCCTCGAGGCCATTGTACAGATGAGGAAACTGAGGCTCAGAAAGGCCACAGCAGGGCCCAGGCCGGGAGCCAAGTCTGCCTATGCTCCTGACTCTGACAGGGTTGATTGCAGGTGCCACGCTGTTAGCTGAAGGGGACTCCTTCCAGAAGGGGGCCCAGCCCACTCTGGGCTATGACAGCCCTGAGACGCCCCTCTGCCAGCTGGGGCCATGCAGGGAGGGGAACGAAGTCCCAGCAGAGGGCTCTCCCGGGAAGCTTCCCACCATTACCCCCAGGTGAGGAAGGAGGGGTGAGATGGGGAGCAGCCCTGGTGGCAAGGGAAGCAGGGTCGGAGGAGGAATAGCAAGGAGCCTGGCAGCCCTGGCAGGACCTCAACCCCAGGGGCTGTGAAACCTTGAGCAAGGGACTCCCCTTGTTGAGCCCATTTTTCTCATCTCAAAAGAGCATGAAGTAAGGCAACTTGGCAGCCCTCCCTCTTTCTCCTTTTCTGGTGCCAGGCCCCGGCTGCTGCAGTGAGTGGGCACAGGAAGGGGGAAAGGAGGGTTTAAGGAGCCCTTCGGTGATCTGGGACTGGCAGGCCTGAGGCTGGGACACCCCTTCAAGCCGCCGACACAAATCTAAAATGGAAGGTCTAGGCCGGGTGTGTAGGGGCGTTGGAGGATGGTGTTACCTCTTCTAACAGCTGCTGGAAGTCCTTGGGGGTGACACAGCCTCGGCTGCGCAGGATCTAGGTGCAAAAAGGTCAATGAACCCGACTGCATGACCCTGGGCAAGTCACTTAACATCTCTTGAGTCTGTTTCCCCTCCTAAAATGGAGATGAGAGCCCGGACCGCAGGGGACCACCGTGAGGATGAAATACGATGAGCGCTAAGCCAGAGCGGGGTTCCCTGAGCCAGGCCCTGCCCTAAGCACATATATGTTAGTTCACCCACACAACAGCCTCACTAAGGAGTTATGCTTATCCCCAGTTAAGGGGAGAAAACTGGGGCACCGAGAGGCCAAGCCACTGCTGCGGTCAGATCTGAGCACGCGGGCCACCAGCGACCGCGGGGACAAGGGTCCCTCCTCCGCCAGCCCTCCCGCGCCTTCCTCTGCGGAGCCGATGGAGGCCACTCACGGGGCCGTAGTCCGCGCGCAGCTGCTGCTCGCCCCGGAAACGCACGTGCAGCCCGTAGCGCGCCACGTACAAGTTCTCGGAGCAGAAGCAGGCGCAGCGGCAGAAGCGCTGCGGGACGCCCGCCGTCGCCATGGTGAGGGGGCGCGCACGCGGCCCCGCCGGCTTCCGTAGGAGCACTTCCGGGTACGCCCTCTTCCGGCAGCCAAGGATCCGGTCTAAATTCCCGAGCACAGAGAGGAACGAAGACTCCGCCCCGCCCCGCCCCCCGAAAACGGTCTGCGGTGTAGAAAGATGTTCCCGGGCCTTCTCGCGCCGCCGCCTCACAATGTCCCCATCCACGAGGCGGGGACTCGGACCCCCAAGACCTTTTGCCACCTCCCTTTTCTGCTCGGAGCTTCTGAAGAACTAGCCAACTCCACGGGGACAGTTAAAGGCGCCCTGAGGTTCTGTCGCGTTTCCTCCAAATGCTATGAACCATCCAGTTCTGTGCGTTTGAGCTTGGGGTTTAGCATTTTTGCCCGGGTCCCTATCCCCGCTCTCCCGTTGCCCCCGCTGTCTCCTAGGAGTCACCGCCGGCTGCCATAGTGTCTCCACAAAAAAACGTTCCGTCCGGCGTGACTTCCGGTGGCAATCAGGTGTGGGGCGGGAGAGTAGGGCGTGGTCTGTCCGCGGCCACACCCCGCACAAACCGGTCCCAGTTCTGCGCAGCCGCTGTGCGAGATGAGTGCTATTTCTCTTCGCGTGCAACCCAACCTGAGGGAGACCCATCGCCGCACACACCGGGACCCCGTCATGGCCCGCCGTGCACCCCCCGCCCCAGGCCCAGGTCTGCAGAACTGGAGCAAGTGGCTTGGATCGGATAGCAAACCTATCACCGAGACGGGAGAACTGAGGCGCGGAGCAGGGGAGGAAGTCCCTCCCCCTGGGATTGGTCCCTGACCCCCGCCCTAGCGTTTCCCGGTGACCGCGGGATGCGGGATGCGGGTGGGGAGGAAGACTCTGGGCCGCAGGATTTCCGCCCAGACCCCAGATACACCGGTGACTGCAAGTGACGGCGCCTGTTGTCCCCGCTTCCTCCCCCCTGGACTTCTGGATCCCTCACCCGCCTTTCACCCCTACAGCAAACCCTTGAGCTGGGTACTGTTACGTCTTCATGTGATACAGATGGGGAAACTGAGGCTCCGAAGTGCAGGGACCGGCCCCAGGTCACTCACCAGTAAGGGACACGCATGGGGTTTGAACCCCGCAGTCTGCTCTCTGACTCCCCTGTTCACCGCCACAGGGGTTCAGTGGTGAGGGTGAGATGCGGAGGGAATTGGAGTTTTCTCTTTGTGCTTGTTGGCATTTTCTTAACGAGTCTGCTTTCGTTTCCCCTGTTCTTACACATGTCTGCGAGCCACCGTAAACATATGTCCATGCTAACATATATGTCCATGCTAACACATTTACACGCAACCACACAGGCCATCAACACACTCAACCCCCATACACACCCTCATGAATACATTCCACATACAGTGATGGTTGCACACTCGTGCACACCCCCCCACCCACACCTACTCACCCACATTCACATCCCACACACACCTACCCACATGCACACAGGCACAGCCCGGTTCCTCTCTTCTCTCTGCAACTTACGCTCCAAGACCCACCCGTTGCTCTTACTGAAGCCCCGGAGCCCAAAAGGGAGAGGGAGACCGTCACGTTCTGTGATTCTGTGATTCGGCTTCGGGCATTCCTCCCCCCGCTGTCTCCGTCAGCACGTTTGGGGATCCAAGGCTCCAGCCAGCGGTGTCCCCGCCTTTCCCCAGTGCCTCCGGGGACCAGGAGAGGGCGCCTGCTCTCTGGGCAAAGCCTATCCCAACAGCCCGAGTGGTTTTCACAACTGGCTGGGCAGGGGCTTTCAGACCTTCCTGCGTGTGTATGTCTACGGGTGTGTGAGTGTGTGTCTGCGCGTGTGTGAGCTGTGCACGTGGAAGTGTGCAGTTTTGAGTGACAGACAAGGTCCTTGCCCTTCTGAAGGTCTCAGTCAAGTGAGGGGAGACAGGGGCAAGCGAGGAAACCATCACATGATCGAGTTATTCTCACTTGGTTGCGAGTGCCAGGAGACACAGTGGGAGGGGCCTGGAAGTGGCTTCTTTGGACAGGTGGCCAGGGAGACCCCCCAAAGAGGGACATTTCAGCTGAGCCCTAACTGCTGCAGCAAGATCTGGCAGGAAGGGTCGTAGGCAGGGGAACAGAGCGCAGGTCATTTAACATACGCTGTGGGCTGACCTTGACCAGCAAGGACCATGAGAGGGCAAGCCGGAGGCAGCGGGGCCAGGGTGGTATGGGGCCGAATCACTGGGCATAGGAGGCCACGGTTAACATTTTGAATTTTACCCTCCAGGCAAAGGGCAGCTGTTTAATCCTCACAGCAAACCCTATGAGGCAGGAACTATCCTCTTTTCACAGATGTAGAAGGGGAGGCTCAGAGAGGTCCAGTGACCCACCCAAAGTCACACAGCTCCTAAGTGGTGGAGTCCGGAGTGGAACTCACATCTGACTGCTGGTTGTTTATAAAGGTCTGCATGGGCGCCCCCCCCCCCCTCAGGCATAAAATCAAGGTCACTGGGCCACGGGGACCTCAGTTCCAGCCCCAGCCTGCTGGAGCTACCAGTCTTCCTTAAGGAGAGTGGCCGCCGGGGGCCAGCTTCCTTTTCAAGGACCCAACTCCCCAGCCCAGAGCTGTGTGGCCCGAGAAGGTGTTTAAAGTTTCACAGGCATCTTGATTGCCCAGCGATAGCGAAGGGCCCTACTCGCCGGCAAAGGATCTATTTCCCCAGCTCGGTGCTCGGCACCCCCCTCGCTGCCCTCTCCCCAGCAGGCCCCGGGCAGGCCAGCTCCCCAGCCTGCCACCGCCCTGGCCTGGCGCGAGCAGCCTCCCCCACCCGGTCAGGTTTCTCCCTTTCGCAGTAGTTTGCAAGATGAGCCTGCTCTGCCTGTCAGCTTAGACTGTCCCTCCTCGGAGACAGCGCCCCAGCCCCCAGCCCGCCCCAGCCTGGGCTCAATCGCGAAAGAGAACCCCAGCGAGAAGAATATAACAGTGAGCACCCAATCAGTGTGACTCCCAGCTGGCGATGACGCATTTTATTAACCGCAGCAGGTGCCTCCATTACCTCCATTTCACAGATGAGGATACTGAGGCTCGGGGAAGTGCAGGGGCCTGTCCAGGGTCATACACCCAGTGTGGTTCCAGAGTGGCATGGGTGGTGTGTGTGTGCGCGCACACGTGTGTATGTCTGTGTGTGTGCATATGCATAGGTGTGTGTACGTATGTACATATAGCACATGCTTTTGAATGAACATGGAATACCCACACAAAAAGAGTACAAATCGTAAGTGTACAGTCTGGTGATTTTTCACAAACTAGACACCCATGTGACCAGCACCCAGGTCCAAAACAGAACATTGTAGCTTCCCAGAAAGCCCCTCCCGACGTCCCCTCATCTCACTCACTACCCATCTCCCAAGGGTCTTAAGAGCAAAGATCTGTTCTCGAGTTTGCTACAAAGAAAATCATATAGTAGGAGTATTTTGTATACTGCTTCTTTCTTTCTTTTTTTAAAATATATTTATTGATTTCAGACAGAGGAAGGGAAAGGGAGAGAGAGAGAGAGAAACATCCATGATGAGAGAGAATCATGGATTGGCTGCCTCCTGCACGCCCCCCGCTGGGGATTGAGCCCGCAACCTGGGCATGTGCCCTTGACCGGGAATCGAACCCGGGACCCTTCAGTCTGCAGGCCGACACTGTATCCACTGAGCCAAGCCAGCTGGGGCATGTATACTGCTTCTTTCACTTGGCATTATGTTCTTGAGATTCTTCTGTGGGCTGTGTAGCAGCAGTTGATTCTTTTTCATGGTTGCATAGTATTCCACAGGGGTTGCGCATTCTTCCATTCACTGAGCCATTCTGTAGTTAATGGGCATTTGCATTGTTTCCCATTTGGAAACATTCTTTTTTTTTTGCAGTAAAATAGACATGATGAAAATTTATCATTTTAACCATTTTTTTTTTAAGATATTTTATTGATTTTTCACAGAGAGGAAAGGAGAGAGATAGAGAGAGTTAGAAACATCGATCAGCTGCCTCTTGCACATCCCCCACCGGGAATGTCCCCGCAACCCAGGTACATGCCCTTGACCGGAATCGAACCCGGGACCTCTCAGTCGGCAGGCTGACGCTCTATCCACTGAGCCAAACCGGTTTCGGCAGTTAAACCTTTTTAATAGACTTTTTTTTTAGGATAAGGTTCCCCAGCAAAATTGAAGCAGAAGAAATTTCCCATATTACTTTTTGCTCCGCCCGCCCCCCCCCCCCCCCGCATACATACACATCCAGAGCCTCCCCCACTATCAACTCCCTGAACCAGAGTGGACATTGGTTACAGTAATGAAAGCCCATTGACACATCCTCACCCAAAGTCCATAGTATAAGGGTTCCCTCTTGGAGTTTTATAGTCTCAGGTTTGTGACCCTGTGTAATGACGTGTGGCCACCATTGCAGTATCATACGGCATTGTTTCACTGCCCTAAAAATCCTCTCTCCTAAATAATAAATTTAATTTTAAAAATTCCTCTGTGCTCTGTCTATTCACCACTCCCTCCTCCTAACCCCTCGTAACACTGGCCTTTTTACTGTCTCCATAGTTTGTAGCCTTTTCAGGCTGGCTTCTTTCACTTGGGAAATAAGCATTTGAGGTTCATTCATGTATTTTCCTGGCTTGACAGCTCATTTCTTTTTAGCGGTGAATAACGTTCCACTATCTGGATGGACCCCAGTTTGTCTGTTCACCTGCTTTACTTCACCATTTGTTGAAAAAAAAAATACTTTTGCTCCATTGTATTGCCTTTGGTTCTTTGTCAAAGATCAGTTGACTATTTTTATGTGGGTCTATTTCTGGGCTCTCTGTTCTGTTCCATTGATCTGTCTATTTTTTGCTCAAGACCACATTGTGTTCACTTCTGTAGCTTTACAGTAAGTCTTGACGTTGGGTAGTGTCAGTCCTATGGCTTTGTTTTTCTCCTTCGATATGGCGTTGGCTGTTTTCACACAGCAAAAATGACAGAGCCTAGATTTGGACTCAGATCTGAGTCACTCTAACTTTTATTTTTTATTATTATTATTATTTTAAAAATCTATTTTATTGATTTTTTACAGAAAGGAAGAGAGAGGAATAGAGAGTTAGAAACATCGATCAGCTGCCTCCTGCACACCTCCCACTGAGGATGTGCCAGCAACCAAGGTACATGCCCTTGACCGGAATCGAACCTGGGACCCTTCAGTCCGCAGGCCGACGCTCTATCCACTGAGCCAAACCAATTAGGGCCACTCTAACTTTTAGATAATCCATCCAAGATAGGCTCTTCAGGTGCAATCATATATTTGCTTTTGTTTTTGCACAAACAGTAACACACTTCAACTGTATTCTATCCTTTTTAAAATATTTTTTGAGAGAGAGGAAAGGAGAGAGAGAAAAAACACACACATTGATTTCTAGTTCCACTTATGCATTCATTGGTTGATTCTTGTATGTGCCCTGACCAGGAATCGAACCTGCAACCTTAGTGTATCAGTTGGTGATGCTCTAACCAACTGAGGTACCCAGCCAGGGCTCTGTCCCTTGTTTTGACTCAGTACATTTAGGTCATTCCATACCTTTACGTAACTATATATAGGTAGGCTCATAGATTTGTCTCCACTGCTGTGCGGTATTCCGTTGAGCGATGCTGTGTAATTATTCGGCCAGTTCCCTATGGTATGGGAGGATATTTAGGTTACTTCCAGACTTTGCTACTCCAGTAACTGTCCACAAGCCAGTATCTTTGCTCCCCTCTCCAAGTCTATCTATAGAAGAAATTCCTACTGGGTTAAAAAAAAAAGTGTGTTTTAAATTCTGAACTTCTCCAAATTCCCCTTGAAAGAGGCTCTCCCATGTGACTAGCAGAGGCTGTTTTATTTTATTTTATTTTTTAAATATATTTTATTGATTTTTTACAGAGAGGAAGTGAGAGGGATAGAGAGTTAGAAACATTGATGAGAGAGAATCATTGATCAGCTGCCTCCTGCACACCCCCTACTGGGGATGTGCCTGCAACCAAGGTACATGCCCTTGACCAGAATCGAACCTTGGACTCTTCAGTCCCCAGGCCGATGCTCTATCCAGTGAGCCAAACCGGCTAGGGCTAATTTTTTTTTAAATATATTTTTATAGATTTCAGAGAGGAAGGGAGAGTGAGATAGAAACATCAATAATAATCCTTAACCTCCTGGGTCACAGGTCGATGCTCAACCACTGAGCCATGCCAGCCCGGCTAGCGGAGGCTGTTTTAAATCAGAGGGCGCTTGCCCAGCCGGGATGGTTCAGTGGTTGAATGTCGACCTGTGAACCGGGAGGTCACAGTTTTATTCTCCGTCAGGCCACATACCCAGATTGCAGGCTCAATCCCAGTGTGGGGTGTGCAGGAGGCAACTGATCCATGATTCTCTCTCATCACTGATGTTTCTATCTCTCTCCCCCTCTCCCTTCCTCTCTGAAATCAATAAAAATGTATTTTAAAATACAAATAAATCAGAGGGCGTTGTAAGCCTCTGACTGAGGGCGGAGGGCGGTGGAGGTATCTTGCCCCACCTGCTGCCTCTCTGGGCCTTGACCTACTCTCCCTGCCTCTTGGTTCAGGCCACACCGATCCCTTTCTGTTCCTCAAGTGGCCGGGCAGCAAGTTCGGACATCAGAGCTTCCTCCAGACCCCTCCCAGGCTCACCCCTTCTCACCTTTCGCCTTTCTCCGGGAGCCCTTCCCAGTTACAGTAGCCATGCTGCACCCCGTTTTATTTCCTTTACAGCCCTTATCAGTATCCGAAATCATCCTATGTATTTATTTGATTTCCTGTCCCCCCGCTTCCCAAAGGAGGGGGGAGAGGGAGGTTGTCTCTTTTCCACGCTCAGCTGGGTTCCAAGCTCCCAGCACCCAGCACTCACCCAGCACCCAGCACTCAGTACATTAGTGCTGCCTCCCCTCTCCCAATCCCCTGCTACTCTGCCCTATTTTTCTTTTCTTTTTAATTTTTTAAAATATATTTGTATTTATTTCAGAGAGGAAGGGGATATATTTATATATATCAATGATGACATAGAATCAGTGACCGGCTGCCTCCTGCACGGTCCACGCTGGGGATGGAGCCCACAACCCCCATCATGTGCCCTGATTGGGAACCGAACCGTGACCACCTGGTTCGTAGATCGAGGCTTAACCACTGAGCCACGCAGGCCGGGCTCTTTTTCTCCATAAAGTGTCTCCCCTTCCAACACATATAATTGGCTTGTATCGCCGGAGTCGCGCACTAGAATGTCTAGCTCCAGAAGGGCAGGGATCTTGTTTCTTCACTGTTGTATCTCAAAGGCTTAGGATGGGGCAAAGCACATAGTAGGTGCTGGACGTGTGTTTGTTGAATGAATGAGGACCATTACCCCACCCTCCAGAGAAAAAGGCCGGTTCAAGAGCAGATGAGGCCCTTTCCCCTGTGTGGAGGGCCGGGCTGCGCGGATGGGGCGGGGCCCGTCGCAGATGGGCGGGCGGCCAGCGGAGGCCCCGCCCCTAGGCCCGCCCCTCCCCGCCGTAGGCCCCGCCCCACCTGTCAGACGGCCGGCCGCCCGCTGGCTCCTCGGGAGTGAGTGGCGGGGGGGCGTTTGATCGATAGGTGGAATGGT